GCTGTCAAATACATACTTAGGAGCAGCCAAATCACAGACAACATAGTTTTGTCAAACCTGCAAATTAGTAGAAAGAGCACATCCTGCAGTGCCCCCTTCCCCGCTGGCGTGCTCATCCTGCTCCAAGTTACCATCTTAAAGTATCCACCTGCGGTTTCCTGTAGCGTCTTTGACCTTTTGTTAAAGATCCAACTTTACTAGGCAATTGATTTTTGCTGGTCTCTGGGGTGGTCCTGGAGATGGATTTCGCTGTAGTTAATATTATCCTCTTTTTAGGACTTTTGCCAAGTGAGAATGTATTGGTTAATGACCTTGTCTGGAGTGATGTACTGTGTATTTGAGCTGGTGGAAATGATGTGATTCTCTTCCTAATGGCTCAATCTTGGACGCAGGGAGGAGAGGCATGGAGACAGAGGGGGCTGGTGGAGTGGATGCTGGCCCGGTTCCCTTCCAGACAGCTGGGCCGTGGACACAGCACAGATTCAGAGTCAGCAAACCTGGGCTCAGACCCCACGCCCACTGCACACAGCTGCAGGGCTCTGGGCCATCTCCTTGCCCCATCCAGGGGGCAGTGTCCAGGCTGCCTTATAGCATTGCTGTCAGTGTTCAATGAGATCACATGGGAAAACACCTCCCATGGGATTTGACTCGCCCTGGGTGCTCAGCAAATCTCAGTGCTCTTTCCCTTCTCTTCATTTTTTTTCTTGTTTTGCCTTGAAAAGGAACATCAATTACAATGACTCTTATAGTGCTATACACTCTCTCAGATGGGAAACAATAAAATTCGTACCATTCCCATCATATTACATGAGGAAACTGGAGGCCTAGTCAGATTGAATCACATGATCACTCATTCACCTTTGACTGAATGTCCCGCCTATGTAGGGAACTTAGCAAAAAGCGTGGCCTTACCTTCTAGACATACTTCAGGCCTCAGGTTGCTTGACTGCTCTGTAGATGTGATGCTGTCTGCCTGTCCCTACTCACTCCCCAGACTTCCCCCGCGCCCTACCACCTCTGCACCTGGACTGGAAGGCACAGTCTCTCCTGGTCCATATCCCCCACCACCTCTGCACCTGGACTGGCAGGCACAGTCTCTCCTGATTTCCTTGTGGTGCTGACGCTCCCCAAGAGCTCACCTCGAGTTGCTTCTCCTCACAAGGACAGTCATATCCTCTCTCGCAGCTTTTCATGATCACATCTGTGCTGTATCTGTAGCACAGATCTCTCTCCTAAGTTCTAAAACCATATAGGAATCATGTATTGAGTGACTCCACATAGGTGTTTTGTGGGCACGCAGGACTCTGCATGCTCCAACCACATCTTCTCCAATAACCTCCTTTGCCCCTGTGTTCCCCACCCACCCAGACACTCAGACCGGAAACCAGCACCAAACTAAACCCCTTCCTCTCTCTAGCCCACACCCTGTCCAGTTACCCATCACTGTCTATCCATTCTACAGAGACGTGTCTCACATGCTCTCATTCTCTCTGCCCTGACACCGTACTTCAGGCCTACAGCACTCGCTGGGTGGAGCACGAGCCCTCTGTCTGCTTCCCTGCCTCCAGGCTCTCCCACCCTGCGCAGCCTCCACACTGAGTCACGGTGCTGTCCTGAAGCACAGCTCTGGCCATGGAGCCTGTGTACTTAACAGCCTTGCCTACTGGGTAAATTCTGGAAGAGCTAAGACATAGGGCATGTTTCTTTTCCTAAGTCAAACCCTGTGTTCCAGAAGGCAGAACCTGGTGGTATAGTTCTCTGTATCCCCTGGAGCCCAACACCCTGAATACGGTTTGTTCTCAGCAAATGTTTCATAGACTCTTAATGTGAGAGGCACCCTAAAGACACCCTAAAGACCAGCTAGTCCAAATCTCTCACTTTTCAGTGGATAAAAACAGAGGCTCAGAAATGGGGAGAGAATTACTTAAGATCATACATCCCGCCGGGGTGGTATTCCCCGCATATACATAGCATTTTAGAGTTTATACAGTGCTTCCACATACATTTTATTTGATCCTAGAAATAGCCTTGTGAGTTGGGTATGATTATCTCATTACACAAGTGAGAAAAGTGAAGCTCACACAGGTTGCAAAAGCAGACTGAGATGACCCAGCTGCCGATGGACTGTCTTCTTTTTTTTTTTTTTAATAGGAACTGGTGAATACTTGAAATTTATTTTAAATAGACATGTCTTCAGAACTGGAAAAGAGAAAGAGGAGTATTTCATGCATAGTTGGCAATCACCTAGGTCCTTCAATCCTATAATTACTTAGAATGTCTCATAGTAAGGTAATGCACAAAGTAGCTAATTTCCATCAAACCACTAGTTGGAGAAATGTTTCATATTTATAGAATCGTGCCCAGGCTTTTACTGGTCTACGTGGATAGAAGTACTTGGGTAGCTCTTACTCAGAAAACTATGCTCTGAGAACAAAATCAATGGAAGGCAAATTATTTTGGCAATTAACTGCAGAGATGTTGTGTGTCTAAACTGAAGTTATCATATCAAAGCTCATATAGTCTAGCAATCTTAAAAAGGTAATTTTTTTCTGTTTCATACTATAAATTTGCCTTTTTAAAACATTAAGAAGTATGTGATTGTGGTGGTGCCCTGAGGGGATGAGGGCAGATTGAGGGAAATAAAATGTTTCTGAAAGTTTAATTCCACGTCTTCCCCTTTAGTCTAAGAAACTGATCCGTAATAGATTTCTCTAATTCCACTATTTGAGGACAATTTCTTCTGAGTGGAAAATTAAAACAGGGTGTGTTTTTTTCCCAGTCTCAAATGGCTGATCTCACATTCAGTTACACATATGTTATTATGTATTTGACTAAACTTACATTAAATATAAAATAACCTATTTTGATGGAAATACAGGGTGAGGCAAACGTAGGATTATGGTTGTAAGTATGTAAAACACAGAGTTTCTTCTTGTATTATTATTAATTACTTTCCATAAGAACAACTGTAAACCTACTTTTGCCACACCCTGTATATAAGATCCTAGATGTTCTTGATGGTTAGGGTTTGTTCTTTTTTACATTATTTTTTTTAATTTTTTAAAATTACAGTTGATATACATTGTTGTATTAGTTTCAGGTGTACACCCCAGTAATTAGACATTACATAACTTCCTAAGTGACCATCCCGAAAAATCTCTCACCCATCTGACACCATACATAGTTATTAGAATCTTATTGACTATATTCCCTATGCTGTACTTTACCTCCCCATGACTATTCTGTAACATCCAATTTTTACTTTTTAATCCCTTCACCTTTTTCACCCAACCCCCCTCTGGCAACTGTCAAAATATTCTCTGTATCTATGAGTCTATTTCCATTTTGCTTATTCTTTTATTTTGTTTTTTAGATGCAATTGTTGATAGATATGTATGTATTGCCATATTATTATTCATATTTTTAATCTTTCTTCTTCTTCTTAAAGAAGACCCCTTGGCATTTCATATAACATGGGTTTGGGGGTGATGAACTCCTTTATCTTCTTTTTTGTCTGGGAAGCTCTTTACCTGTCCTTTGATTCTGAATGATATCTTTGCTGGGTAGAGTAATCTGGTCTCTAGGTCCTTGCTTTTCATACTTTGAATACTTCTTTGCAATCACTTCTGGCTTGCAAAGTTTCTGTTGAGAAATTTGATGGACTGTCTTCTGATCCAAGTTCAATACACTTTCAACCATAGCTAGCCATAATGTCAGGCACTCACTGGGTGTTCAATAAATATTAACCTGTACTTGAATGATAAACCAATAGCCTTGCAGAAGTGAGAAAATATATATTTACTGACAGGATGGATAGGTGGTTGCATATATACTTAATCCCCTTTTGATATTTGACTCTCTTCTTGTGACCCTTTAGAGCTGAAAGGCCACCCTATCTTGAATCAAATGCAGTCAATGGGAGCCTTGCTAAGAGTAGGCAGACACGGAGTGTGGATGTCACCTTGAGGCCTATTGATTGTGAACTGTCCAGCTGGTCCTCCTGGACCAGGTGTGATCCCTGTCAGAAGAAAAGGGTAAGTACCCAAGCCTTAAGAGAGCTCCTCTAAGCTTCCAGGATCCCTAATCCTCAGCGAATATTGGCTAAGGCACTACAGACAGTGCCTGGCACCTAGTAGGACCTGGGTAAATGTTGACTGATTTTATTAAGGAATTCTATTCCTCTGTGCTTCCAAGTAGCAATTATATCCTTTCTTTGATCTTTCGGGTTGTTTTTATTTTTTCTAAACATGTGTCCTTGCTCATGTTAACAGCTTCCTAATCAGGCTTCCTGCCGCCAACCTTGCCCTTTCAATCCATCTTTCCTCATGCAACCAGAGGGAGGCAACATCAAAAATGCAAGACTGGACTATCTTTTCCCAGCCTGAACTCATTCAAAGTCTACCCGGGGCCCTTAAGATCAAGTCCATACTTCTAGTAGTAAAGGCTCCCCATGACCTAGACCTGGCCTACATCTCCATAAAACAGCCCCCACTCTAGCACGTTGAACGCTTGCAATTCTCTGACCATTTCACCCTCTCCCTGTGCCTTTATTCATGCTGCTTTCTCAGGCAGGAGTGACCTTTCCCACTTCCTTTACTATATCTACTGACGATTTGAATCTCTGCTTAGGGGCCAAGACTTTTGAGGAGCCTTCCCTGATTTCTCAGCCCCCCTTACAGTTAGATAGGTGCCTTTTTATGAGCTTTAATAGCTCCCTCTTTGGGTATCCTTGCATTTATCATTTACTTTTTTTAATTATTATTACTTAGCTTTCCATTACACTGTGAACCAGTAAAGGCTTACTCAATTCTTTATCTTCAGTATGTAAGCCACTTTCTGGCACATGATAGGTGTCCCACAAATATGTTGTTTGATTTCATTATATTTTCTGATATCTCTGTAAAAGAAGGTAGCATAGTCATTACACACTCTGTTAAGCAGATAGGTAAACAGAGACTCAGAGCAGGTGAGTGAGTTCTCACCTAGTAGCAAATGCAGGCATTGAACTCAGGCCACTGGCTTCAGGTCTAGTGTTCAACCAGTCAAAACACACCATCTCTGCAGTATTTATCCATCAGGCTCCCTTGTCCTGAGAGGGCTGGTCCAGGACCCCAGCTCTGGGAGGAGCAGATGTGTCAGAGAACGGTTGCCATTTCCCCAGCTCCTTGGGAAGCCAAACCAGCCACGGGCTAGGACCCCAAAGACACTGTGGAAGGTAGGCCCAGGACAATTACACACTTAATTGGATCAATGTGAAGAGCCAAGCAGGATCATTTGGTTCCCAAAGTGGGCTTTATTGCTGAAGTTACCAACATCGATCCGCTTATCTGGATAATTGCTTCATCCGCACCATAAACCAGGAAGACTCAGCGTGAGTCGCCCACTCATCCAGCCATCCAGAGCTCTTCACTCGGATCTTGTAGCATGCTTCTCTCAGCTGGCATCGTCGCTGTCAGCAGGCTCACTGCTGGGGTTTCATCCGAACCTTTCAAACTGGAATTGGGAGATGTCTTTCCTCCACTGTCTCCATGCTCCTCAAACTAATCTTCTCTTTGGTGGCTGAGATAGTCTTCTGACAGTCTTCTTGCAGGCCTTATCCCTGTCCTGCCAGCCTCTGTGTTTCCAAAGGCTCTAGAAAGAAAGAACCTTTGGAAATGCACAGGAGTGTGAGTGAATAGTTGTACATATATATTGATTTCCAGATAGTATACAATTAATAACTGTGGCTGGTTAACATGTCATTCTGCAAAGGGCCTGCTAGCCTAGTTTGCCCACCTTTTTTATGTGTGTGTGGTTTTTTTTTAATTTATTTTAGAAAGAGAGGAAGGGAGAGGGAGAGGGAGAGAGAGAGAAACATCCGTGTGAGAGAGAAACATTGATTGGTTACAGGGGATCGAGCCCAAAACCTGAGCATGTGCCCTCCTCAGGAATCAAACCTGTGACCTTTTGGTGCATGTGATGATGCCCAACCAACTGAGCCACATTGGCCAGGGCTGATTTGCCCCTTTAGTTGCACCAAAATCTTGACTGCAACTAGCATTTGGAAACACCCAAATCTGATCACTTCCTTCCCCTGCTATAGTTTCATAAAGTACTAAATCCAACCTTACTGAGGCCTGGAAGGCCTATGTTACCTGCTGCTGCCTCTGTCTCCCTCCATTTCTTGCCTCTCTCCCTCTTGCACTCTTTACTCCAGCCATGATGAATTTTGTTTCCAGGAACAAGGTCCATTCTGTCTCATCTCTCAGCTGTGGCACAGAAATTTCCTCCACTGGACCACCCTCCTCTCCCCTCCTCATACCAGCTCTCTGGGCTTGCCCGACATTTCTGTTCATCCTTTGGTCTCAGTTGAGATGTCACTTTCCCCTCTCCTACGTTTGCATTGGGATACCTCTACGAATTTACAGAGCACACTGCACTCCCTCCATCCTGGCACCCATCTCATTGCCTTGACACCGCCTGCTGCCATCCCCACCAGCACCATCTGTGCCCTCCTTGAGGGCAGCCTAGAGGGCATGATTAGGATTAAAAACAAACAAAAAAGCAAGCATAAATAATACTTACTTTTATCTTAACCATTGGGTGGCTCAGTCAATATTTTGGAAATTCAACATTCCTGGAATAAACTGGAAGGTAGAGATAGAGAAAGATTGACTACTAAAATGTGTTAATCATAAAAAAGAAAAATAAGTACCAGATATTGAGTGCCTACTATGTACCAGACAACACAATGAGATTTCATATATGCATCTTATATATAATTCAAACCCCATAACTGGACCTTTAATGTGATTCATTATCTCCATTTTAAAGATCAGTAGGCAGAGATCATTGAGGTTAAGTAACTTACCCAACATCACATAACTAGACAGCATCAGAGTCTGTTGTGGGTCCCAAGCGCACGCTTTTGCATTAATAAGATACTGAGTAAATGAGAATACTTGAGTCAGCCAATTGGAGTAATCAAGCTGAGAGGCTGTGGTTTTGTGTTATTGAATTGGCCACATCAATCTATTTACTACCTTTGGACTCCAGAGCCCATGCTTTCCCCACATTCAGCAAATCTTCACTGCAGATCAGAGATCAGACAAGGTCCCTGCCCTCAGAGAGCTCACAGTGCAGTTGAAATAGGCAAGCAGCCAATCACAACATAGACCTTTAAGGTATCCCTAAGCTCCCTCGGCCCCTGAGACTCTGCCCTTGGCTCACCTGACTCTCTCCCCTCCAGTACAGACACGCCATCTTGCTGCGGCCCTCTCAGTTCCACGGGGATCCTTGCAGACTCTCTGACAAGGAAGCCGAAGACTGTGTTACCAACGCACCCTGCAGAAGTCAAGTGCGATGTGAAGGCTTCGTGTGCGCACAGACAGGTATAAAGGGCCATAGGACTGGGAGGGGAGAGCTAGCAAATTAGGCAACAACATGGGATGCTGGTGGCACTGGCCATTGCCTGGTGTACAAGCTCAGGGTCATGTGTCAGGTAGGAGGCCTCCTTGTTTTCATATCTCTACCTCCTTTCCCATGTATCACTTCATAAAAACAGCTCTATAAAGAGGGTGTTATCCCCATTTTACGTATTAAGAAATTGAGACTTGGAGACATTCCTTGCCAAAGGTCACACAACAGGTAAGTAGAAAAAGCTGCCATTGGAAATGTGGAATTCAAACCACACTCACAGACATTACAGACATCAAAGGGATGTGTGCTGGAATCGGAACTCCTAAGTCAAGTCTCATTTGGACTTTGTGACCTAAGAGAAGTCACTTAACCTTTCTTCATATTGGTTCTTTCAGCAGAAAATTAAAAGTGATGGTAAAACCTTACAAGTTTGTTATAGGGATCAACTGACGCGATGGGTATGAAAGCTCCATTCAGGGGGTGAGCTCTGCTGGCTCTCTTGGAGGCAAAGCCTGAAACAGTTAAATAAGATGGTTAGCACTATTTACCTCTGAAAAATCTTTGGAGAGATAGTTCCTGCCTCTGCATTTCTACATCAGCAAGTCCAGCATAACCCCTAATGCAAGATATAGTCAGTAAAACATTCTGGAAAGAAGGAAGGAAGGAAGAAGGAAGGAAGGAAGGAAGGAAGGAAGGAAGGAAGGAAGGAAGGAAGGAAGGAAGGAAGGGGAAGGAAAAGAAAGAAGGATAAAAGAAGGACAGATGATGGACAGACAGAAGGAAGGTAGAAAGGAGCACACAAATAATCATCAGCTGCAGGACTAAGTAAATACTTATCTTTTCAACTCATTCATCTGGCTCATTCAAGCAAACATATGCCTCCCTATTTCTCCAAGTGTCCAGGAAAAACAAACAAACACAAGAGTATGTTGACCCAAATTCTCTAGGTAGGAGCTACAACTCTACATCTACTGTACCCATGTGGCCTGTGCTTTGGGATCTTTCAAGAAAGAGTGAGGGATTCATAGAACAATTTCTAGGGCTGATTGAAAATGCAAAATTCCACCCAATAAATCTGAAAGACTTTTTTACAATGTGTCCACAGATGGATTATGCCAGCGTTCCATGATTCTGATCAAGGCCATAATGATTATTCAGGCAGGCTTTAGTTTAAATTCCTAGTAAGAAACATCTGAGGACCAGATTGTTATTCTTCTGACTTTAACACCCCAAGAACTTTGGTTAAAAGTAACCAGACACATCTAAGGAACTGTCACCTGTATTATGAGCTTTATTTCCCAAGAATATGCAAATAATAAAGGAAGCCAAGTTAGTCAAGTGCTGCAAATAATTTCAAACATATCATTCAAATATGCTTGAAAAAATAGTCCAAATGGCTGTGGTGCTGAAGGCAGTGTGGGTTAGTGGAAAGAACTGTGATTAGACAGCTATAAGTTCCAATCCTGCTGCAGATATTTACTGGCAATGGGCACGTGGCCCACAAAAACACTAATTATAATAATAACAACACATATCTGGCATTCCCATGAGTTAGTACTGTTCTGTTTACTCATTTAAGTTCCCAGCAACCTTCAGGGGTAGGTATGGTATGATGACTTCCCTATTTTATAGATGGGTAAGTTGAGGCATGATGTTAAGTAACATAGGGAAGGTCACATAGCTGGTATGACTTCAGTACCCCCCAAACCCACGTCTCTTCCCAGGCTCAGGGTGAGAAGTCCAGGCTTCCTTCCTGTCGGGCCACTCGACCTCTGCCTCTCAGTCACTTGCCCTTGCCCTCCCTTAATAACCTCCTCTCACAGTGCTTTCTGAAATACAAGACTGGCCTCTTTGGGGGAATAAGATGTAAAGGTCATTACCACTGTGATACGTGTCAAAATGAAGCATTGAAAGCCTGGAAAGTGCCTGGTGCAGAGTAGGTGTTCAGAGCATGTTAATTGCCCTCTGACAGCCAAATAACTGTGTGTAACATCCTCTTTCCAACCCAGGGAGGTGTGTAAACCGCAGACTTCTTTGCAATGGGGACAATGACTGCGGGGACCGGTCAGATGAGGCAAACTGTAGAAAAGTTTCTAAAAAGTGTCAGCAGGAAATGGACCAATACTGGGCAATTGGCAGTCTGGCCAGTGGGTAAGTTACTGTGTTTCTATTGTATACATGGGAAGGTACAACATTAAGGGTAATTGTAGTGAAGAAGAAGCTGATAGGAAAAGAGTGGCTTCTTTTCTCCTTTCTGAGAAAAGACTGCAGTGTAAGTGGATGCTTTAGTTTTGTCACCTGTAGAAGGATGTCAGTAATACCCTTCTCTTAAGTTCGGGGAGGACTCAATAAGCTAATCCTATATAATAAAAGACTAATATTCAAATCAACTGAACAGTGGAATGACCAGTCTCTATGATGTGCACTGACCACAACGGGGGCAGACGCTCAACGCAGGAGCTGCCCCCCTGGTGGTCAGTGTGCTCCCACAGCGGGGGAGTGCTGCTCAGCCAGCAGCCAGGCTCATGGCTGGTGAGTGCAGCATCACTAAGGATGTCCAACTGCCTAAGCTGTCTGAGGGACCCCCCCACCAGTGCAGGAATTTCGTGCACCGGGCCTCTAGTGTGATTATAATAAAGTAATAATTGAGAGGCAGCTTGTGTGGTGGGAAGAATGCAGCCTCCATTCTTGAACTAGACCCTCAGACTTGGAACCCTGGCTCCACCAGTTGTTTCTGGCAGTGAGACCTCGGGCAGGTCAATTACCATCTCTGTGCCTCACTTTCCTCATCTCTAAAATGGGTATAATAATAATAATCCCTATCTCATAAGGATCAAGTGACTCAATATGTGTAAATTAATTATTACTGTGCCTCCACAAAGTAAGCACCACATTATATTTGTTAAATAAAATTAATAAATATCCATTTTTATGATACGTGAAACTCTTCCATAGGGAAGAGAGCCTAACACAATTTCGTTAAAACTGAGGCCAATGGGCAGAAGCTGAAAGCAGACAGAGCTCCTTGCAACACCAAAAAAGAACTTTCGGTAGCAGTCACAACTGGGCCAGACGGAGGCCTGCCTTTGGAGGCAGTGAGCAGTATGTCTAATTAGAGACAGGATTTTCACCCTTTCTACAAGGACATAATGATATCTACCGCCCAGGGCCTTGGGGACACTAAGGTGCTGCATGGAACCACCACTGAGTTAGACCCTCAGTAAATGGTAACTATTTTAGTGTCTCATGATGTGAGTCATACAGAAATTCAGAAGAAAACCCCTACCCCCAGGGGCATACAACCCAGTGGGGACAATAGACACATTTAATAACAAGCATTGACCAAGCAGTATTCTAAACACTTAACAAATATGACACATGGACTCCACCCAACAACCCCGTGAGGTAGGTGTTCTCCTTACCCCCATTTCATAGTTGAGGAGACTGAAGTATAGAGAGGTTAATGACAGGTGTGCCCAAGGTCATGTAACTTGTAAGTAGCAGAACAGGGATTTGACCCCAGGCTTCTGGTTCCAGAGTTTGTGTTCTTAACCTATTATGGACCATCCTTGTAATAGGAGGGCCTCTGACCCAGCTTGGTATCAGCTTGGTACAAGAGTCAGTGAAGGCTCCCAACAATAGGCAACAACAGAGCTCAATCTCTAAAGAAAAAACAAACAAACAATGAATGGCTGGAAGGGCATGCTAGGCACTTACACCTATGAGAAGGAGCAAAGCAGATTGGAGGAAGAGCAGGCTTCTCAAAGTGGCTGGGACTAGGGTATGCGGTTGTGTTTGGGAGTGGCCAGACATGAAGCTGGGAAGCTGCTTTCTCCCAGATATCAAGGGCCTTGGATGCCATGCCTGCAGGTCCACCTTCCATTTATTAACTCTACCAATTGAAATTATTACAAACTGCTGCTTACCCATCCTTCTTCTTCCTCTCCGTGCCTTCCCTGCAGGATTAATTTGTTCACAAACAGTTTCGAGGGCCCAGTTCTCGATCACAGGTATTACGGCGGTGGGTGCTCCCCCCATTACATACTGAACACGAGGTTTAGGAAGCCATTCAACGTGGAAAGCTACGCCCCGCAGGTATGTGCAGCCAGGAAGCCCCTGAAGGGCAATGGGCAGGCAGGGCGGAGCCAGCCAGCAGGAGTTGCAGCCAGGCCTGTCGCCTGTGACTGGGCGAGCTTGGCAGCATCACTTTATCTCTGAACATCAATCCTTCATGGGTAAAATGGGTGGTTCCTTCCTCAGGACACGTGGCGAGATGGACATGCTGCATATGATAACAGCAATAGTTGCAGTAGCAGTAATTGTACCAAAAGACTATCCAAGCCCTAACCGGTTTGGCTCAGTGGATAGAGTGTCGGCCTGCGGACTGAAGGGTCCCAGGTTCGATTTCGGTCAAGGGCATGTACCTTGGTTGCGGGCACATCCCCAGTAGGGTGTGTGCAGGAGGCAGCTGATCGATGTTTCTCTCTCATCGATGTTTCTAACTCTCTATCCCTCTCCCTTCCTCTCTGTAAAAAATCA